GATGTAAGATATGTCACTACTGTAAATTAACTTGCTTTTTTATCTGCTGCTGAACAGTTTCTACTTTATACCAGGTTTCTTATGCAATTTAGTGGTCAAGATTGTGTAAAACAAAACAAAAGCCCGTTGTCATTAGGTCGTCACTCGTCCTCCCGCTGCACTTGTTCCACCAGATTAACGTCGGCCCCGCTAATCTCCGTCATTGGTGTTATTTATTTTCAACACTGTCATTGAATCACTATTGCCTTTCGTTGGCTTCACCTCCTCACAGTTTGTTGTTCAGAGGGACAGGTTGAGATCTTAAAAAGGAACTTTTCTTTCTGAGAACCAGCCTCCTGTTAGTTGTTTGTTATGTTGGTGAACGTCTGACTCTCAAACCTGCATGATCCACTTAAACAGCTGTTATCTGTTATTGCCAGCTGTGGATGAACACATGGAATGGTTCTGAGTGATACTGTTTTTCTAACATGATGATGTGCACTAACAGAAGGCTCGGCATCAGACTTTTGCGCAAACTTAATTTTTAGCGATCAGTAAAATCATCATTGAATACTCTTGACTCTTTTCCTCAACACATGGCCCTTATCATCAATGATGTTTATTTATCCCCTAATATCTTCCCCCAATCGTGGACAACCAAAACCAGTCTGTGAAAATAACCTAAGCTGTGATTTTTCCTCGTGTCCACTGGTTACCTGGCGTCTGAGCTTCTCTCAGTTTCAAAGGAAAACAAATTTAACAAGGGTTTTTTGTTTGTTCTTGGTAACATGGGCGAATTTAGGGGCTCCATAGTAGAATTAGGCTAGTCGTTCTTTCCTTCTTTGTTGTGGCACATTTGGCTCTTGATCGATGTGTGTTAAAATATGATGTGTGAGTCACATTCACTCGTGGGTTTCGACTCTGAGGACTTTGGGTAGATTGCTGAGTAATGCTTTAATTCTATCACATCTTGAGTTCTGATTGGTGCACACTTGATGATAATGTTTTCACCTTTTACTTTATCACTGAATTTGGGCTGTGACACAGAGACTTGAAAAAGAGAACTCACCACTTAGTAAAGTTCAAGTTAGTGTCGTGATGGGGAATGAACACAATAGGTTTTATTTTTAAAGACACAGTAGTGTTCAGGTGGAGTCTTGTTCTCTTTCATTGATGGTGTTGCTGACTATAAAGCCATGATGACATCTACTTTGAATTATATCCATATTTATAATTATGTGACTGACATTGAATAACAGCTAACCATCTTTTGGCGCATGCAATCAGGTTTTGAAGGAGTTGGGTATGTTTTAAATAGTATACCATTGTTAGTACACTCTGGGTGTCATGTGTACAGTTAGTAGATTTCTGTAGACTTGATGATCACATAACTGCTGTCGACATTACCTTTTTAAATTTTCTAACCTATCATGACCTCCTCTGACCGGTGTTCACTGTATTTGCACAGATTCGGTGCGTTTGAAATGTCATTAAGCAATACGCTCTGAAAATGGTGTGTCCAGGTTAATCCACCCATACGCCATTATATTTGTTTTGGGTTTTTCTTTTTTCCATTTTGTGTCAATGCAATGTATATTGGACATGATGCTCAATAAAGTGTGTAAACAGAGGGACTTGTAATTTGGTTTGTGCTTTACATTTTAGATGAGAACACTCTGGGTTCAAGTATATTAGACCTCTGCTCTGTAATCGGAGCCCTGGGAACAGTGTCATGTGTCAGGGCTGGCTTCATTTCACACTAATGGGCTTTGCTGGCTGCAACACACAGAGCTGATCAGGGTGTGAGTGAACTTCCTGATACATCGATAGAAAATATTGTGATTGTACGTGATGATGAGGAAACGCGTCACGTTTGTCGAGCACCTGAAAAAAGACAGCTTGTTAAAAAATGGAAGTGGTCACATTTTAATGAGGTAAGACAACAACACGAGAACTAACGGGATGAACATAACTGATTTAGATTTATTCTTTTCTTTTCAAATGGTGAAAATATTTATTTTTAGGTCTGCAGAGTCTAACAAGAGATACATGGAGGGTGAGTCAAACATTGTTTTAAATGCCAACTGTAAATAGAATAAGCCTGTCTTGATTATTGAATTTTAAATGGATGATTTGAATGTGGAATAAAAGCAACTGCAGGTGTTTGTTTTCTCTTTGATGACTAAACCAAACATTATATTCTCATTATAATAATAATGTAGCCTTATAATGTGCTGGAAGTATTCAAATGTTAACTGAAAGGAGAGTAGAAAACCCCATTTAAATTTAATCTAATTATTGTAAAAGTCCTACATTTTAAAGAAAAACTAAACTAAAGTAAAAATACAAACGTATCCAAAGTATTATTTATGTAGAATGGCTCTGTTCTCTTTATATATACTAAGGATTATTACTTTTAAGTACATCAACAACACATAAGCAGAATTTTAATGCTATAACTACTTGAGTTGGAGGTAAAGAACTTAATACACAACATATCTGTTAACAAGAAATCATATTTTAGGAGCAGATATTAAAGTGGATGAGAAATGTTATTTTATAATGTATGAGTAACCTATGATACTATCTAATAAAAGGTTATTAAGGCCAAAAACAAAATATTTTTTATATTGTGTTTTCATCTGTATGTAACACAGTATAAGTATAAAGCAGAATAAAATGAATATGCTTAGGTTAAGTTGAAATACCTCAAAATTGTACACACAAAAATTGTAGAAATGAATTGTCCATTTTTATGTAGTGAATTCACATTAGAAACATAGATCACAACTGTGCATCATCCAGAAACATGTTTATTCTTACCAATACATTTAACTGATGAGATCCAGTCAATCCCTTATGTCGCTATAATATATGTTATAAATATGGTTGGAATTAAATTATTCCAGTAGTGTTATGTTTAAAATCTGCTGCTTAAATACAGTAACACTACAGATGATCTAAACTGTCCGACATGAGGCGTTGTCTTGTTGCCTTCACCAGGCCTGGAGTGTTTACCAGGTCAGCAGGGGAGAAAGATGTGCAGAGGAACACACACACATGTGCCTGCAGGATGTCAGCAAATGAAGACAATACACATGTCCAAATCTGTGATGTCCGCACCCTTCCTACAGGTAACAGCATGAAGCTGGAACAGACGTGTGCAGTTTTCATCTCATGTTTAATGTCAACATCAAATAGTTTGAATGAGATAATTATGATATCTGTCATGTGCCATCACATCAGTTCTTGTTCTTGTCTCAGCACCCAGCCCTCACAGCTGGACAGAGACGCTACCTCTGCAGCATAGCTAATGTGTACAGTACGGAGCACATGAGACGCCAGATGAAGCAGCACTATCTCCATGTGCTGCACTCGTGTGTCCAGTCAGGTGAGTATCTGAACGTCTCAGGCGTTTCACTTTGACCGCTGCCATCAGCCTCATGTTGTGTTTCCAATCTGCCAGGTCAGAGTCCCTCCTGCAGGGGGGGGCATCAGCGTGGAGACAGCAGCACGTTGACACAGGATGCAGGGAAGGATGTGGAGGCAAGGGCGAAGCCACAAGGGCAGAGGAAGGGCAGCAGCAGCAGCGGCAGCTCCGCCAATCCTGATGTCATACTTCCCAAAATAGTCAACCGATGAGGGATCTGATGCCGAGTGGTTTAACTGGGCTTTAAGGACCTCACGATGAGGGTCCATGGTGATCTTTGTATCAGCGCCTTTTGTCCGGTCGCACAGTTTTCCAAATAGGAGTTTTTAATGTCCTCCTAACAAAGAATGGTGTGCAGGCGTGTTCTTCTATTCTTTAACATGCTACCATCCTTAACTCAATAATAAATGCTGGATATTCTGCTGTCACTGAGTTCTTAGTCTGAATTTATATTATTCAGTATATGTGTTAATGATACAGGTTTTATTTGGGCTTCATCAAATCTCAGCCTTCACTTGAAATGGAAATGAAGAATGATTTTTCGTTATTTATTTGTATGTAATAGAGTGATTCTTAACCTTTACATGTTTGACTTAATTTGGTATTACGCTACCTACTCATTAGCTAGTAACATCTGCTAATAGCTTCAAGTTAATCCATGTATTAGATTGTATATGTGACTGAGCCTCTTCAGGCTAAATTAGCCTCATGCCAAATCACTGTCTGTACTTCAGCTAAGCTATTTAGCATATCAGACTGTTAGCATCTAGTCTCTGAGCACCTGGTCGAATCAGCAAGCATGAAGTGTGTCCTCGAGGGAAATGGTGTAAAAGGTAGAAATAAGTTTAAATTCAATATGATAACAAATATGAATTCAAATCATTAATTTGTAAATGAATTGTAGCAGCGAATAAGGTTTTTGAAAACATTTTGAAGACAGTGCTAGCTCAGCTAATGTAGCTTAGCTTCTTAGTAGTTATGCTAGCTAAATAGTTACTAGTGTGTGTGTGTGTGTTTGTGTTTGTGTGTGTGTGTGTGTGTGTGTGTGTGTGTGTGTGTATTCTATGCACCAACTTTCTACTGAAGAGAAAAGGATCATTAGTGATGAACTTGATAATTACTACAGTATCGTAACAACAGTGCATTGTTAGCCTTGAACTCTGCTGACACCTTGTTGTGTTGCAGTTTTTGGAAAAGCGGTGCATGCCCTGTCCCGGATCGGAGAAGAGCTGTGGTTGGATCCTATGGTTAAAGGGGTGAGCGGCACCAACTGTTACTGGATGTATTCCTAAACCAAGGGGTGGCCAGGAATGAGGTTTTACTTTCTCCCCTTCCCTTCTGTTTGAAATCAAATCCATCAGGCTTCTGCTTGTTGGGTCCCTGCCACCTCCCGCTTCCCTCTCAGATTACCGAACACCTAAACTGAACCTCTCTGTCCCACAGTTGGCGCTGAGATCAGTGAACGCCGCTCACTCTGCATATGCCTGCTTCCTCTTCTCGCCAATGTTCTTCCAACATTACAGCCTGGGGCGTGGATCCGAGCAGGCCCATGAAACCATCAAATGCAAACTGGTCATCAAGGTATGCAGTCAGCAGGGGAGGTCTAATACAACCAGAACTGGACAAAGGCACGATGATGATATGATATTGTTCTTCATGCAAGTGTGTTACTACAGTGTTAAAACAGTGATGTCATCATCTTGTCTAAATACTTTTCTTTTCAAGTCAGTGCTGCCACTTTTCCGGTGTTTGGCTGCCATCGAGCGTAATGTGGAACGATGTCAGATATCGATCAGCACCCCCACTGACCGAGTCATAATCCAGTTCTTCTGCAGACATGGTACGTAACATTACATTTAGTACCTTCACATATCCAAGTGGGTGAAGGAAAGAACTTCTAGAGACGTCATTGCTTTTCAAGCAGTGGACTTCAAAAGCTCTTTTCCTTTAAATGCAGAATTAGTTTGTATCAGAACGACCTCTATCAACACCAGCAAGATGCTGCAGACACTGTATTACATACTGTCAACACTTGATGGCAGTGTGCTGCAAATCTGTCTGCCTTTGTGACAGGAATCACCAAGACTCACAACCTCCGCTTCCAGGAGAGTGAGGCTCTGCAGGCGGAGTTCTCCTCACACCTCTGTCCCAATGTGCTGAAGGCACCTGCCAGGTAACAGGAACCTTTTTAATGACTTCAGTGACTTACTTTATATATTTTCACAACCCAAGAACACAACAATCTCCGTACCAGCATCATACAGAGGAGAAATGAAAGATCAGCAACAGATAGATCATCTCCATGCACACAAACAAGAACATGTTTTGTCTGACTGAAGTAAGGATATCAGTGTGGAAATATGAGATGTCCAGTAGACCTGTCCAATGTCCACTGTTCCACTGTCACAAGATCAATTGTAGTCCTTGTAGAATAAACATTAACTGCCACCAGCTCAGAGGGTTATATTTGCAAATAGTAATGTTGAAATACACACAGTACACGTTAATAAAATACTTCATTCAGCCCCCTGTAATGAATGGAATCGTAGAAAGATTTATCATTTTATTTTTACTACCTTGTTTATTATATGATAAACTTGTTTATTTATATTATATTTTTCCCCTCAAAAAACCCTCTCCTGAAATAATGGCCTCCTGCAACCTTCAATTTCCTCCTTATTATCTGTTTGATAATGATGATACTTGTCTTGACATTTTAAAATCTATTCCTGCTATCTCTGTGATATATATGTGGATCTTTGACCAAAAGGCTTTATGGGCATGACCATAATGCATGGTGTAAGTCCCCTACCACCCTATTACATCTCCAACAGCCAGGAGTATCTTTCAAACCTAGTCTCAATAACTTGCTATGGTACTAGTTGTATCAGTGGATTGTTTAAATAACCTCACTCTCTAGAGATCTCTTCAGTAATACCAATCATTTCATCTCTATCACGTTCTTGAAAGGAGGTGCCCAAATCTTTTTCCCACATTGTTTTCAAAGGTGCAGTGTTTTTTGTTGATTTCTTCATAAGCACAGAGTGAAGCCCCATGTCCTGTCTGCGAGCACAAACAAAATATTTTTTGAACTTATACATTTTAAAAACACATCTTTAATCAAGTAGAGTTACTGTGTTATTAATAATATGTATGCTGGCTATAAGTTGGATTCAGCAGTCCAGTCTATGCAGAGAGAGGATGGGTGTCCACAGTGTTTTCTACTTAGAGCTGACATAAATAATAATTCCTTGTCACATTGATGGTGTTTAGTCTTTATAAAACCATCCTCCATCAGTACATACTGTCTGATCTTTCTCTGAGAGTGCTTGTGTTGCTCTCTACCTCTGCAGAGTCCTCAGTGATATGGTACTGCATTTCCCAGTGTCCCTGGAGGAAATCACTCTGTCCGCGACTCCTCTGAGAGTCACTCTGAGAAATTACCATGAGGCGGGAAACGGTGAGCTAATGTAACACTGTGAGTTGGCTCAGGCCCAAGATAATACTGGTGTTGCACCAGTTTTAAGACTGACAATGCACAAGTTTACTTGTAATGCAAATACCACATATCAAATTCTCCGACCACAGTCAAACAAATACTAAATGTTTGACTTGGATGTTCCCCTGTGACAGATCACATGAAGATGATGCACACTGAGATGTCCTTACACCCGGATGAGTTTGACTTCTTCCAAGTTGGAGTGGACTCAGACGTAACCTTCTGTCTGAAGGAGTTGAGGGTAACAGAGTTATTTTTGGAGGCTCCCATTATCCTGTCACATGAGAAATGATAAAAAAATTTTTTTACGGCACTTTGTAACCTTGTGTAGATAGGTGCTAATAAAGTTATTATTATTATTGTTATTATCCTTGTATGTGTGAATGTGCGTGGGACCGGTTCACCACAAGCATTTCATGTCTAACAGGTCACATTTCTCGTCCTGTAGTCTGGATACTCAAGTTTCAAAAGGCCTCTGTATCTGCGTCTACATAAATCATTTTCAGGCGAACTTTTCCCCTCAGCCCTGTGACTCAACTTTATAGCAAAGATACTGTGACCTAAGTGACGCATGTTAACCCACATCATGGAAAAAGCCACAGCTTCCAGAAACTAAAGGCTAAAAATTACTTGGTTCATAATTAAACATGCAATTTAAAAGCCAAGTATGTGTTTGTTTTTAATTGCTGGTTCAACTTAAATCAATCTTAAACTATTTTTATCTTGAGTAAGAGCAAAACATGTTATGTTGGAGAAACATAATGTCATTTGCAGAGTGGCTTTCTCAGTAATTCAAAGTTTGTTGCAATGTCCGTTCTGTGTCCTTTTAGAAAACAAAGGAAAAAGAGCTTGGTTGTCCATTTGGAAATTTGAATAAACAGCATTTGTGTTTGTCCAATAAAAAGAGATCTGATTATTATTGTATTAAAACCCACAATCCGTAATGTCTTGGAATGTTTCTTGGACGTCCTGCTCTGCAGCTCCTCATTAGCCTTCAGACTATAGTCTCGGTTTTGGAAAATCGGGTTTGGATGGATTACATACCAGGGCTTTGAATTTTAGTCACCTTCAATTCACTCAAGCTTTGGTATTTTTCTTTAACCTGATCATTGTAAACACATCACAGCACTGCTTTGAAAATGATCAGCTATTAAAATGTTAAAGTGACCACTATGTCCTCGTTTTATGCCAGTGAATTTCTACCATTTTGTTTTTCCAGGGTTTTCTGTCCTTTGCGGAGTCACATTGCCTTCCAGTGTCCATTTACTTTACTGCTGCAGGAAAGTAAGTGCCTTTCTGCCATAGTGATTAACTTGAGGGGCATTTGTATCTCAAATTACAGAAGCCAATGTCAGTCTGTGGCACCCAAGTGCGTAATTAACACCAGACAACCTCAAAATTCATGGCATTTAAATTTTATCTGTGGCAGCTGAGTCTAATATTACCTGTCCTTTCACTGAGTGACCAGTTGAACAGAGATTTGCTTTTGGCTGGTAAAACAGTGAAAGATACTGGTCATTGGATAAGTTGGATTTAAGAAGTTTCTTTTTCAGTCAGAGATCCATCAGTGTTTTATTTGTGTGCTCTGCAGGCCTGTGTGTTTCTCCATGGAGGACATGGTCCTAGAGGCCACTGTAGTGCTGGCTACTCTGATCGACTCTGAAAACAAGGGCCCCTCTCAGCCTGTCGACTGCACGGCCCCCACTTCACCCAGGTATCATCTCTAGTCACGTGCTTTTAATCCCCTCTGTAATAACTGTGATCTGTTATAACCTCAGCACAGTGGAACAGATGAGGGTAAGATTTATTTGATATTATTTATTATTTTCACCAGATTATCATCCTTGACACCACTGAAGTCTGTGCAGGCCGACTTTCTCAGGTCTGTTAGAGAGTAGACTCTAATCCTCCCACAGGGGCTCTACCTGAGCCTCTCTCCTGGCTCTAGTCGAGGCAGTTTGCCCTCACTGGCTGTTTTTAGCTTCCTAAGAGGGCATAGTGTTTCAGCAGCCAGCCTTGTGTCTGTAACAGACATAAATAGGGCAAGCCCAGGACGTGTGGGGTTAGGTTCGAAGCCTGTCTGTGTGACGTTCTCTAATCCCCTCATCTCCGTTATGCTAGCCTGGTTGGCTGTTCTGCCAACGTCACTGTCCTGCTCTGCTAACTCTCCTTCACACTCCGTTCCATTGCACTCTGGGCGGATCTGATGACACCAGTCCCCAATGTCCTGCCGTACATCTGGGTCATTTGTACTTTTCTTTGCTTGTGTGCACTGCTGGAAGTCTGCAGGGACACCACTGACCTGATGAGCAGGCAGCGTTTCAGTGCTCCTGTCTTTCTCCTGCACTCCATTATGTTTTGCCATGTGTCATTCAGGCTGTTTTTGAACATATGCAGTGTAATTGTGTTGTTCATAGCGTGCTCGTGACAAATTATTCTTACCTCCTTTCTCAGGCCTTGTTAAGTACAACTATGAAGCCTGAGATAGTCTGGAGCCTTATTAAACTGCACGTACTCTTTACCTCTTCCTGTTGTGTTCCTCTTCAAACCTCAGGTCTGGTTACTTCTGTGGTGTTGATGACATGTAATGTGGTTATATGCACAAGGTTGTTTGTTATGTTTGCTCATAGCGAGCTTTAGGCTACTTTTAAGATCAGTTGATGACTACACATGGAAAAATATAAGCTCTGTTCATTATTGTCTTAATCAAATATTCATCATTTTCTTAATAGTCCCTCAAACAATGATAACGATATTCAAATTTGTGATAATTTTATTTTATTTGACAATTCTATTATCAAAATATTACTCACCTCCTCATACACATACTATTATCTCTTCTTTTATTCAAATTCTGGGGGGAAAAGCTGAACACATTTTTTATTATTTAGAACAACACACATGAATGATGCTCATTGCTTTGGCATCATGGTTGTGTGTGTTGCATGGAATTTCTTCTCCTCTTTTCATTGGCACTTATTTTCAGTTCATTACATTACCACCATCTCCACTTCCTCCATCAGACGTGCCATTATAAACCTCACTTCACAACTCCTCACCAGGCTCGGTGATAATCCACATCCCCATGGGTCAAATTTCATTGAGACTCACTGTGTTGTGTTCACTGTGAAATCTGTAGAGGAACAGAGCTGTCAATGTTGTTGTGTGCCTGATTCACCTTGCACACTGTTGACTATTCTTCCTCTGCTCAGGAACTGGTCATTAACTCTTGCCACAGACGTTGTGTGTTGTGTGTGTTCCCAGATTTACAGATGTAGCTGCTCTACCTGTGGTCTCTCATGAGGTAGACAGCAGGGAGTCACAGAATGCTCCTGCTGTGGCAGAGCTGATCCCATCCAGTCAGGGCAGCCCTATCATCAACCAGCCTGCTCTCATGCACCTTCCGTCTTCAGACCATCCTGACAGACGAGATGTACCCGATGAGGCCAGTGCCATGGCAACTCCTGCGTCTTCCATGGTAACAAGGGCTTCCTGTTGGTTCTTAATTTTCACTGGGAATCCAAGATCTCTATACCCTGACACAGTCTTGACATGTTGGGTGGCATCTTTTACCCATAATACCTCACCAAATTTGGTATGGCTGACCAAGACAAGCAGGCTTACAGGATGTGTAAGATCTATGATTTTTCTTTTCTTCATCAAACTGCTGTTAATGTTCTTGAAGGCTTTGTTGGCTCACCAAGAAGAATATCTTCTCAGACCGGTGACCTAAGTCCTTTCAGGACTTAACTTTGAACACGTTTGTTCATCAAAAATAGAAAAGTATGTAATAATAATAGAATATTGTTTGGATAACACGCGTCGTGTGTTTTCCTCTTTAGATCTGCTCCCTGCTGTTCAGGGCTTTGTCTTCAGAGCAGGACGATGATGGTTGTGATGGCAGTCTGCCTGTTCTGGCTTGTTACAGTGACACAGAAGACGATTTGGAGGGAGACTATACAAGAAGCCCTTTACTGTGAAAACAGAGTAAAGGGATGTGAACATCATCTTGACCCTGAAGTAGACCCTGAAGTAGACCCTAAGATTCAACTGTAGTCAGAACAACTTATGCTCAACTATATTAATATATACATTTAATACATATTCAGTTTGCCCACAATGTTCAGTTGAAAATGACAGAGAATCTATTTACGAAGATTATTTGTAATAAGTTTGTATCAATTCATTTGTTTTGGCGGTTTCATTGTGTACAATACATGAGTCATAACAATTAAGTCTTGTCTGTGAAAACATAACCTCCGTGTGAGGATGCCACACCTGTGTGTTGGCTGAGGATTGTGGGAGTACACACACAGTGCACGCACCTTCTTAACAATGTTCTTTTACTGGCATGGCTTCAGAGAAGTGCACGCTATGAAGAGTTAAATGTGGCCGATGGGATAATGGGAAAATTCAGCCTTAAAGGCATGTAGCCTGAGCCTGTGAGAAAATACCTCTTTGACGTACTTTTCAATGCTCTTGCATCAGATAGTCTTCTGAAAGCCACTTGATGCTGACCTCACATACACCAAACACAACTGGATAATAAATACTATACCCTTTATTCATATATTGTACAGATCTGAAAATGTTTCTTCACAGAGAACAGATCTGGATACAGTGGGGTCCATGCTGTGGTAGTAACAAAGTAGAGAGGGATGAAGTGGACGGGAGACAACAGGGAAGAGAGTCGGGGCAGGTACGAGTCAGGAATCAGGAACCACCAGGTTGACAGTGACACCGTCTGACTGGGAGAATTGCTTTGTAAAATCATTAAGGCTACTTAGATTGTCCTCAGTGCTTAAACAGTTCAAACTCACATTTTGAGCGTTAGCTGCTGCCTCTGCCCAAAACTCTTCCTTGTCAGTCAGCCTCATCTCACAGAGACGTCCGACTCTGCCGTCTCCCAGTGTGAACGTTTGACAGTGCAGGTTGTAAACAGTGATGTGAACGAGTTTCTAAAAAGGGGTGATGGCTTTATCACAATTCCTAAGCTCCAGACAGAGAGGCAGGTTTCAAGGGAAAAACGGTTGAACATTGCTGTAGATGAAAACGCCCAGTGTTAAGACAGAAGGGCATGATGGGAAAAGCTGTTTCGTCTCTTATGGCTACTTTAACAGTTTCAGGCTCTGTACCTGCCTGACACAGGGTCGGGCATTTTAAAGAATTACGGACATTTCTGCCAGTATCACAAACACCTAATACAAGGCACATTATCATCATAACATTGAGAATAAATATGGATCTTCTAAAGAAATGTTTTTAAACTGTGGGTAAGAGCTGCAGTTAATGCAGAGTGCAAATCTGTGGTGATGTAATGGAAACACTATGACCGTTTTTCACGTGAAACCTGCAGTGACCTGACGTTATGAATGTGCTGCTGGAGCTCTACAGCAGAGAGGAGAGAGAAGAGGGGACCACACTGATTATGAACAGTTTCTAAAGCTACTGCAATGTGGCGATCAGTCCAAAGAATTCAACAACCCCACTGAACAGAGAGGTTACAAAAATACATTTGGTCACATGACCAACGTCCGCCGTGTCGAGCTTTTTGTCAGATACGCTTCTCAAGCTTGTGCGTTTTAAGGCTGCGAGACCAATTAAGCCCAGTGGATATGGAGAAGTCTGCAGCCTTGACATCCTTTTCATACACACCGACGAGCACATGAGTACATTCATCAACCAGAAAACATTCACACACACATTACATGTCATCACAACCAAGACTTCAGCAGCAGCTGGGATATTAAAGGGAGGGCATCAGTTTGACACAATATATATCTCCACAGGCTTCTCAACTAAAAAATATTCATCCCATGAAGTATCAAAATGTGTGCAAGTCGTGAATTCATTGGGCTGGAAAAGGCAGCTGCCGATCTTCTTCATGAAAACTTATTGGATCAACCTGCCTCATGTAACTACCCACCCACGTAGAAACGTCACATACAATACTTTTTTTGCTAACTTTTACAAAACCTCTCAGAAACAGCACACAAGTCATATAATGTTATCTAACATATGCTCCCTGCACACACATACAAGGTTCCAGGCTCTTTGATGAACATCCACTTGCACAAGTCATCCCATTTCTTAAGCCCTAATTCTGCCCTTTCCTTTGCATTTCCATTTTTGACACTACTGGTGTTTCTTTTCCCTTCCGGCAGCCCAGCGTGTGGAGGCTGCTCCAACAGACTCACACCTTCCGTCTGGCTACATCTGCCACCCCCGTCTCTGAATCTCAACTGCCTCCCTGCCCAGAGAAAAGAGGAGTTATCCTCGTCGGACAGGATCCTCATCTCCCACATGCCTAACGTCTGCTTATCCCGGCCAATGGGATTATCCACTGAGCACTGCAAAGACGCCAACGCTGCAGCCGGGCCAAGTGGATGTGTCCCGCCTCTGCTCCTCTTTATACAGCAGCTCTGTGATGTACACCATCACAGTGCAGTGGGTGTGTAGTCAGGCTATTTTCTTCCTGCTCTCTTTCGAGGGTGGGGGGGGTTGCCAGTTTGGGAGTTGAGGCAGAGCAGTACCAGCGGAGGTGGAGGAAAGCATCTGACGTTAGTCCTTCATCCTGACCAGCAGGAGTCAAAGCAGTTCATCACCTGCAGAGGCAGACGCCCCCCCGTCACAGCTCCATGCAGTCTAGTCGGTGTACTCTGCCACTATGGACAGCAGCACCGTGATGTCATCCGGCTTTCCTCCTAAACAACAAAAAGCAGTGTCCTGTTAGGATGGTGCTCGTCATGTGTTGGTTTAACATTTCAAAACTAGAAAATATTAATGTCATGTGACATTTTCTACCTAATTGATGACATCACCTCAGATATCCCCTACACTTGCACCAATGATGGCAGAACTGGGTTCAGGTATTATGCACCTTTTAAATGGAATAAGTTGCAATCTGTCCCACAACTGCAGCTTTCGGCTACATCTACATTACTATGTTTCCATTTGAAAATGAATCAACTCGGCTACGCCTGGTGTCCACACTACTAGAGCCGCTGAAACAGAGAAGTTTGCAAACGCAAGTTTTAGTGCAGCGTTTTGGTCTGGATAGACAGACACGGAGATGTTTGGAAACGATGACACAGACACTAAAAAAACACTTTCTGACTGAGTCTTTTTTTCATGATGTGGTCTTATCTGAGTCGTCAGGCTCCTATCACATGATGCCCCTCCTGAACAAAACAACCGGCATCAGCCTCAGCTACTAGTGTAGAACGTAACATGGATCATCAACACAATACAAGAGTTTCTGACCCTGTTGTCTTTGCTAACAGCACTGTTGTGCAGTTTAATTCTGCATTTTACAATGATACAACTGTTGACATGTGCAGGAGGCAAACTTTTATTCAGGCAATCTGTGACAATTCCTGTTGCAGATTGTTATAAACTTACAGTTTACACCAGAATGCCCAAGGAATGTCAATGTGATATGGCGGAGATTAAAACACACGTGTGGAAAGAGATCGTTTTAGTTTGAAAATACCATTTTGGACGTAGTCTTAGGTTCCCTTTGGTGATTTGAAATCTTTGTTATCCGATGGTTTTCATGATTCTCCAAATTAAGTCCTTGTTGCTTCTATCGATCAACTCTTTGTTGTATTAATTTGCTGCTCGAGAACGTCTCCTGTTCTCAGGTGTCTTAAAAATGAGATCAAACCTGAGACACTCACCTCTTACATTCAGTCCATTGTCACAGGCAAACTGTGCGAAAGGCGACATGTAGTTGGGGTCATATGCCAGAACATGGGCCTGCTCTGCAATGCTGCGGGCCGTCTGCTGGATGCTCTCGTAATTTGAGTTCTGAGGAGCAAAAAAAAAAAAAAACAACGTGGCGTGACGTATGTATTCCAGACATATTTTTGATTCCACTCCCACCTGCAAACTAGTTTGGGACTTGCCTTGAGCTTCTTCAGCTCCTGCAGGATCATGTAGTCAGGCATGTTGTCGAAGAGCCCGTCGGTGGCGGTGAGGATGATGTCGCCGAGCTGGACATCAAAGGAGGAGCTGTCTGCAGCGTCAGGGCTGAAGGCGAGGACACAATAGAGTCAGGCAGAGATCACATGCAATACTTTTTATAATTTTTTTTCTCCCAGGAAATCTGTCCCATTGGGCCTGATAGAGTAACATGAGCTTCTGACACGGCTTCTCTTATTCTGAGGAAATGCAGGTTACTCTACCCCACAGTAGAATGTACTGACACCCACAGGCTAACCTCCCACTTGCTGCAGATATTCCACCTTGGCTGTGGAAACTTAATCACATGCTGAATGAGGATAAAGTCAGGAATCCTCACATGACAGTTTTGGAAAGAACACCCAGGTCCAATAAAAGGTGCTATCTTCCATTATGATGACGGGAGCAACAAACATATAAAGGCAGGAACCAAGTTAGTCTGCCAGTGTCAGGTTTGCTTCTAGGAAAATGCCCTGACCCTGCTGCACAGCCCCTCATCAGTCACGAATGTCATTCATTACAAATTGCATCAAGGCACATGGAGCCACAGCTCTAAAAACAGCCTGTCCTGTGATTCTGGTGAAGCTGAACTGCAGCTCGGACAATAAAAACAAAAAAACTTCCCCCTGCAGGCAGGTGAAGTCACAGAACGGGACTATTGCACACACTGTATGGTATACAGAGTGAGACGTGCATGTTGAATTAGAAGAAATATTAAAAATTGATAGCTGATGCAGTTCTGATGTGTTCCACCTGCTCAACCGTGATTGGTCAAACTACAAACAGAACCCTAAAGTCTCTTGCCTACAGAGTCTCCATATTCACATGCAGAATCTGTTTATAATTTTAGAACGTTGGACAAGATGGAGAATATCCCTTGTAAGTTTATACATTTTATGAGCAGCTGAATTAGCGTCTGCATTTGTCATCTATTGTTAAACCTGTCACTGAGCCAAAGTCACTTGTGACTCAAATGTTCTCAAAACACAGATAATTACACTGATAGATCTGGAATGTTTTGGAAAATCTGGTTTGGAAATAGAAACCAGGCTTTGAGTTTTAGTCTTCTTTGTTTTACTCAAGATTTGGCATTTTTCAGCATGATCATAATAAACACAGAGCTGCAGTGATGTCTGATTTTAAATCCTAACAAGAAGATTTAATTAATTAATTAATGCACTTCAGTTTTGACCCTTGGATTCTACTTTTGGCTGCTCTGTTAGTGATCTCAGACTGGAAGCTTAATCTGCTCTTGCGCTAAATCCTTCAACCAAATGACTAAAACACAAAAATGAAAGAACCACATTAAATCCACGACAGCCAGTGAAATTCATTGTGCACCAGCTGAAAGTAAACAGGGCCATTTACAAGAAATCTAAATTAACGCTTGACACAAAGTTCTCGTTCATCTTCCGTCAGTTTATGAGAAAACACTTTTAAAAGAGGCTCAAAATAATGAACCTGAATTAAAGACAGAGTTAATGAAAAGGTGTGTCGGCTGGTGCAGGATTGGCTGCAGCCTCGTCACTTGGCCCGTGATGCCACACAGACTTTAACCAGGGTAAGAGGGAAAGCTTGGCAAACATCCAGCAGCTGCCCTGCTGACTACTGCTGCCGCTTGGCACACCACACCAACGAGACACGGCAGCACGTGGCCCCGACACACTGCTGCCCTCAGCTCCACACAGTGCAGCAGTGTCGCTGCTTTCACTTCACACTGCTGCATGTGAGAGACTGAATGTTCTGCAGGGCAGTTTACTGCAGATAAGAGTCTTTGTCTTTGTGTGCACGTGATGTGTGTTGTTAGAGCGATGTGTTGGGCTTTATCACATCTGCTGTGCTGAATGCGTGTATGATCTGCTATCCATCCTCTGTTCAATTAGGTACATGCGCTCCTCCTGCCTGTGCTGTCCCCAAAGCCGCTTGCAGACATGCACTGTACTCTGGATAATCTCCTGAGGGGCTGTCTGTGACAAAGCAAATGTCTGAGAGACAGGCTACTGCAGGCCCCCTGGTAAAAACACAGCAGAAGATCCTCCGGAGGATTCACAGAGAATGGACGTGTTGATGAAATTTAACAGACGACAGACACAAAACTTCACAAAACAACAATACAAAGACCTCAGGATGAAAAAGTGGTCGACACCAACAAAGATGACAAGGCCAAACCCCACTGTGCGAACATTCTCACAAGTTCCTGTCTGAGAACAGCTCAAGGGACCAAGTTCAGCTCAGTTGGGACAACAGCAGATGCAGGGGCAGTCCCCCCCTGTCGGGTGTCTCACCTGTCACTGAGGACGGCGCCCTCAGCTCCGGGGGGAGCGATGGACAGCTGGAAGGGCGTGTTGAAGTAGTGCTGCTGCTCGTCTGAGCGGTGGACCACCTCCCCTTCCCGCACCACCAGGAAGCCTGAGTCTCCCAGGTTGGCTGTGTGCAACTGGTGACTGTGTCGGTCCAAAACTACGATGCAGGCTGTGCTACTACCTGCAGACATGAAGCACACACACTTATTTCTTCTCAATTTCAATGCAAAGGTTGGAAATCTACTAAAATGCAAATGTAATCATCATCATCATCATCATCATTAGCAGGATATAGGTGATTTTAACAACTGAAAAACATTAATGAGAAATCCAAAAGGCACTGGAAAAATGTGTGTGTGGTTTTAAAATTAGAAGAGATTAACCAGTATTATCATGCACTCACTGCTTCTCCTTGTGACAAGTCAAAACATCTATTCAAATTAGGGGTTTCTTCCCCTCTTCTTAAAAAACAGCTGTCATACGCTATAAAGAGCATGCCAAAGCAACAGACAGCAACAGACCCCTAATCTTGAAGCCTTTATGGCCAATCAGAGGCAGAACATTAAGTTATTTACGCTTTCAGTTGGCTGACAACAATGACCTTACAAGTCAGAGGCTCTTTTTATCCCGTCTACATGACAACACTGAAAATGGTTTCAAATAATCTTCACCCTGATGGATTTTTGCAGGAGCTCAATTCTCACTGAACTCAAACACAGTTAGTGTGCTGCAGACCTGTGTACATGTGAAAAGGGCCCAATTAAAATATGCATGGTTGTATAACAGAAGAATTATCCTCTAGCAACAACTTGTTCCTGGGAGACTATGTGGATGGGGGGAAGCACTCTCTGGAAATCATTTGACTGCAGCTGGCCTTCAAAATAAAATGATCTGAAGGAGGTTTTCTTTCCTATCAACAAAGAATACAATAGCCCAAAAATATCTGTGATCTAAACTTTCATGAAAAGGTAAAAATGAAAATAAACACCAACTTTTCCTCTTCTTGATTTTCTACAGTTCATCAGGGAGATGCTTATCTAAAGTGCATTAGGAAGACTGATGACTGAGGTTAGACTGAATACACAAACTTGACTTATAATAAGCAGTTCTTATTATTTTTGTGAGTTCCAACATCTGGGAGATGGTGAGGAGGAGACATGAGCTTGTGGAGCAGACGGACAGCGTGCTGCCACACCCTGCTGCTGATTCATCTGGCACGCCGAAATATGCTCTCTGGGATCGACCTTCAAAACCTCTCACACACGGTGACTCACTCTGTCATCTCCTCTGTTTTCCCTCCAGCAGTACAATTACACACGCCGCCAGTCTCAAGAACGTTCCCTCGGCTGTGAAGTTAGCAGCACAATGCAGTGTTGTTTCCCCTCACATGTGATAACGGGGTGGAAAAGTACTGAAACTCACAAGGACAGAGCGCTGGTAGTAAAACAACACTCCTTCAGCTGATGCTACGTGTTTGAGCATGCTTTGTTGTCGGGAAGTGCCGCAAAGGAGGAAAGGGATCGTGGAAGTGAACTGCAAGGGGCAGGCCGGGACTCGGGACATTCCCAGGGTGTCTTAATCGGATCTGGCTGTTCTCTGAGTCATGTAGCAAAAATCTCCATCCAGCCACCACTAATCTGAACAGATGGAAGTAAACAACCCAACTCCAAGTAGTGAACTCCAACCACATGGAAAATGCACCGTTTCATAGGCAGGCATCGGTTGGCATGCATAGTCCAGCAGAGTGTATGGCTCAGGAGTCTCTATATGAGTTTAGTGAGCATTTAAACCACGTGAACGATACCGAGGGGGATAACAAGAAGTCTGTGGTCCACTGAATACATGTCTAAAACGAATGCTTCAGAAAAGGAGACCTGAGCAGCCTTGGAAACTGTATTGACTCAAGACAGTGTACATGTACCAGGTCATACTTACAGGTTAGGAGCAGGAAAACATCTATTCTCAGAAACATTGAGTGTTTCAGTCCTCTCAACTTTAATGTGCTTTAAAACTCATTTTAAGTGGACACCAAACATCATGTGCTTCCAGTGGCTTCACTCACCCAGCAGTGGCACTTTGTTCTGCAGCAGCTCGTAGTAGCTGGTCGTGAGGACTCCCACGGGGTTGCTGGGAACGAAGCGACCTTCCTTCACCAGTCTCTCACATGTCTTCATCAGCGTACCCGAAAACTGTGACGGGTCCACGCCGTAGTCTCGCCAGCCACCCACCCCATCTGCCACACCTAAAGAAAATAAAAAGTGCACATATATTCAATGTCAGCAACAAATATTTTCCTCCTATTTTCAAAACCCAGCTTCCATCATTCCATCATATAATTTACACAATGCTGGATGTTGATCCCCCACAGAGAACCAAATGTTCCCATTGAGACAGTAAAGATTTGAAGAGTACATGAATGAGTACAGTAAGTGTTTTTTACATTCCTCTGACTAGTTTCACAAGAGACACAAGAAGGATTCCATGCAGCTGCACAACACAGATAAACAACAGGAACTTCCACAATACACAAAAAACTTTTCTTAAAATAAGGAACCACCTGCATCAGTCAGTTACTCTGACCTGTCGTGCTTTCAGTTAATTCTGGTAATGTTGTAAAGTCCCACTGGTGGGTTATTTCAAGCAATTAGAAGCCACTTTATCTTTTTTGCATTTCAGGCTCACAAATAACATTCATCTCTCACACTCTCCTGTTACATAAAAAACCCTGCACCCTTAGCTAATAGCAGAAATTTCATAATTGAAGCCCTCGTCTATTTTTTTTTATACAGAAGCATGTTCTCAAGGTTTAACTGTCTGATTTGTAGGTTAATAGGCTCACACGTTCCCAGAGGAGCCTTTAGCCAGGTCCAAGATTTTCCTAGAAAGGAAACTTTAGTCTCATTACTTGCGGGACGCCAGCATCTGCCTCATTGACCATACAAGGATGGCCCACTGCATCTACTCAGCCTGTGGCAGAATGCAGCAGAGAGCCAGGCCTGTCAGTAGAGCAGACATGTAACTTTGTAACTCATCCAAGTCTTGACTAACTCACTGTGCAGAGATGTAAAGTAGATTTGCAGAGATAGTACATAGTTGTGATATGAGACTGAAGGCTTGAGTAGATTAATCTTAGATCAACCATTAATAATGCACACTTTACCGACTTGGATAGTTTTTGTTTACTGAGACATCTGGTGTGAGAGCTTCAGGTTTGTTTATTACAAATGTATCTCTGTGATGGAGGTAATCAATACTGAGCAAAACAACTGTGGAGTGATGTTGGCACTAGAGAATAGAATAGAATCCCTTAACTCTCATTGTTAATTGTACAATGAAATTTGCTGTACATCTCCAAAATGTTCAAAAGATAAGGGACAACAACAAATAATCAATCATAGAGATATATGTATATATTAGTTAAAGCTGGTGCAATAGTGCATGATTGTATTGGACAGTGAGCGGGGTAAAAATAGTATTGCACGTTAATTTTATGCATAACTTCATGTATCGATTAACTGACAAAAAACCCATTAGGGCCTTAACGCAGACAACACTAACTCATCTTGTTCCTGGGAACACAACTGTGTGTATGCATTTTCAATCACTGTGTACTTACAGTGTGATGATTGTATTGTATATTTTAGTGCGTAGGGTTTAATCACAGAACCCTTTGCTTCACCCGTCGCTTCCCACACAAGTAGGAGCATCTGTGGTCTTTAGATAACATTTAATTTGATATCATCTTTCAAGGGCCACACTAAATTAATGGACACGGATCACACTAACATGTTTAGTACAAGGTGAGCTGGAGGTGATGACCTTTGACCCGTCCTTCCCCTCACAGTTTTACCAGAGTGATGTCCCCTGTCCCCCTGTCCCGCTGTCCCCACAGCGAACCGGACGAAGACAACTCACCCAGAACATCTGCGGATCTGTGTCGGGCGATGAAGCACGCGTCGTCCCCGTAGCACATGCCTTTTTTCAGGATGCCTTTCCGGAAGTCCTTCCCGAAGCCGCAGCTGGCCGTCACCAGGCTGTAGTCTCGGCTGTCAGTCTGAGAGAGTCCGCCGATGACAGCTCTGGCCACCAGTCTCCCGTACGACAGCACGGACAACATCCCCCCCCCCCACCCCCCGACAAACCACCAGCACACCGCCGAGCTAGCTAGCGAGCAGCCCCTGCTAGCTCAGCGTCGATGGGGAGCGCAGTGTTTTGTCTCGAGCTAACCCGCTAACCAGGCTGGAGGATGCGCGACACACGCCGACAGCAGCCGCCACGCACCGAGGCGACGAGCCTTCTTCCCCCTGGCGGAGTAAACACGAGCCGCGGGGGAGCGTCACACAAACACCGCGAGGATCTCAGAGGAAGCAGTCGCCCGGTCCGCTCCAGAAGAGCCATAGGTGCTGGTTCTCCATAGCCACGCTGTGTGCTCAGCCTCTGGGTCTCACTCACCGTCCTGCCCTCACCTCTGTTTCTCTTTCTCTCGCTCTCCCTCTTTCTCTCTCTCGGGTCTTGTGACTGCTGTGACGACACAACGTTACGCAACCCACGTTTCCTTATAAGGAAGTGACACATTCAGTCGCATCTCCTGCACAGGTTATAAAACCCCTGAGAGGTGTGAGGGGGACAATGAAAGAGAACAGTTTGAAAAAGAGGGGAACACAGGACAAAAGAAAACAGGTCGTTCCAGAAAAACAACACAAATATCTTTTCTTGGATAATCTGCCTATTTAACAGTGTGGATTGTACGTTGACAGACGAGGGAGCCCCTTCTGACGTGATGTTCAGTCCACTGTTATTATTTTGTAACAGAATATCTGTTACAGGTTATTACTGCTACTGTGTCCTGTCTGTTGTTGTAATTACTTGTCATTTAATCTGAAAAACTAAATCAATTTTTAAATTCCTGTTTTGTGTGCCATGCTGTTGTTGGCGGGTTTTGTTTCTTGTCAGATCTAAGATTAAAAAATGTGAAAAAAGGGTTCTGACTACTCAAACATTGCAGCTTGATCTTGATGAATTGTTAAAAAAAAGCAAAATGTTTTAGGAACAAGAAAGACACCCAGATACCAATTTCCCCCTAAAATACACTCAAAGTTTATTAGAAAGATTTAGACATTACAAGAGTGCTTTCTTATTCATTAATTTAGCACAAGACTTGTTTAAAAATGTGATGATGCATTGTGAAGTCAATGTTCTACAACAGACTAAAATAACTGTAAATAATGTTTTATAGAAGTAAACAGGTGTTTGTGACTTTCCCCAATGGGTTTTTATAACCTTTAATACACTTTATTAAGAATGAGAAAAAAGGTGACAAACAAATAAAATATGAAACAAACTGGAAAAATTGTGCACAGCTTCAAACAAGGCATTCCTGTGCATAAGTAGCCATATTGTTATATTTTTCCTGATTGAACAGTCATATGTGGCAAAGACTAGCTGCAAAATGGAGTGCAAAACACCTGAGGTTTTCATGGTGACATATCAATTTACCCCTGTGGACAAAACAACAAAAATATTTTGCTTCCATCGTGTAGGAGTGGCTATCTTTTCAGTATTGGCAGCATGAAGGATAACCAATCCTTCGAATGCAGAAGACGAAAGCAGAACAGAGGAGTGAGACTCCGGACATTTGCCTCCACACCCGGCCCCTCATTTCTTGGCTTGCTTGGTGACCATGTTGCGAGGTGGAGTTACGGGACGGCTGCCGTTGGGCTTCTTCTTCTCAGCTGGTTTCAAAATCTACAAAAGAATACAGAGTTGAGGATACCGGGATTCAAATGAGATTCTGAGAAAAAAACATTGTGCTATGCATTTTTACATTTCTGAATGTTAAAATAATTATAAAAAAAGGACAAATTGATCATAAAATAACTGCATTCCAATTAGTGAGGACAAGTGTTATTTTGACCTTATGCAACATTTTCTTAATTTTTAGTTTTTCTTCTTTTTTTAAATTAATGTTATATGAGCAGTTGAGCTATATATTGACCAATGATGCACAAGCAGAGACATCACCTGAAAAGAGCACATGAGAGTCTCATCCACACTCATCATAGCACCAGCATTGTCAAACTCCCCACAGTAGTTGGGTGCTGAGAACAAAGTGACAAGCTGCCTCTTTGCAAAAAATTCATAGCCATCCTCAACAACCTGAGGGTGAGAGAAGAATAGAAAAGACAGGTTACATGAATCAGAAGGTGTTCTTAGTGCCAGACAAAATCATGTGGGGTTTTTTTCTAGCCTTAACTCTCTTCCAGTCTTGGAAACAATGTCTTGTGAAAACAGTGTGTGTAGAGTTCTTTGCACAATGTGTGACATCTTGCTTTCCAAGTGTATCAGTGTCCAATGACCCACCATAACAGAGCCACGTTACATAATCACATTACTGTTTACAATGGAAAAGAGGATTGCAATTACCTGATGGGCACGACAGATCAGATCAAGATCATGTTTATGCAAAAACTTGGCCACCACCTCTGAGCCAAAGGTAAAAGATACACCTCTGTCATTCTCTCCCCAGCCCAATACATCCTTGTCTGGATCAGACCAGAGCAGATCGCAAAGCAGACCCTGGTCAGGCACGTCAGTGGGGCGCATTATGCGTCTGATCTGCTCCATGGACTGAAGGTCAGGTGACAGTCCTAAATGGAACAGCAGGGAAAGAACAAATAAACACACTGATATTGAGGTCAGTACCCATCACACGTGGGTGAAGCCTACGTCAACTCAAAAACTGCAAAACAGCATTACTGAAGGACAAATAAGAACAGCTGACGGCAAAGGGTCAAAGTTTGTGCAGGAAACTAAACCCAGTAGAAGTACTGTAAATATGGGTAGAGAAAAAAAATTCCAACAACAACCCAAAAAAAAGAAACCAGGAACCCACCTCCGTGGCAGCAAAAGATCTTCTCATCAACAATGGCGGCGATAGGGAGGCAGTTAAAACAATCTGTGAAGGTCTTCCAGAGTTTGATGTTGTACCTTCTTTTACCTAAAACATCAAGACAACAAAACAATTCTTCATATATCATAACAATACTACCACTTCTTCCACTAATGTTGCATATGTGTAACGCCATAAGGACTTCTATACATTTTACTTATAGGTGCAGAAACAATAACATAAAACATTTTAGTCAGTGACTTCAGTGAATCTTACTCACACTCATCATAGAAGCCATATATTCTGTTGATTGAAGCACACTCATGGTTTCCCCTCAGCAGGAAGAAGTTCTCAGGGTATTTAATTTTGTAGGCCAGCAGAAGACAGATGGTTTCCAGAGACTGCTTCCCCCTGTCCACGTAGTCGCCCAAGAACAGGTAGTTGCTTTCTGGAGGGAAGCCTCCATACTCAAACAGCCTCAGCAGATCATAGTATTGCCCGTGGATGTCACCTATAAGCACATGGATAACTGTATACATCTACAGCGGCAAACTGAATTACTCACAGTTGTCTTATGAGTAGTAATTTGTAATTGTCTCCTTTGGGAATGAAACCATTCTTTTCTGATGGACACACGTGTACATACAAACCATACATACCACAGATCTTGAGCGGGGCCTCCAGCTCCAGGAGGATGGGTTGACTGAGGAAGATCTCCCTGGACTTGAGGCACAACCCGCGGATCTCGTTCTCCTGGAGCTGCACATTCTTGCCAGGCTTCGCTCCTCTGACTGCGGCACGACAACAAACAAAAGTCAGCACGCACGTCGAGCTGAACACGGACGCAGCTGCAGTTCACACCGCCTGGTACACAGCAGCTCCAGACGGACTGTGGTCACACAGCGAGCTACACGAGGCGCCTGACTGCGCAGTGCTAGTGTGAGTGTGTGTGTGAAAGTGTAATGCAGTGTGTATTACACCGCGTAGATTCCGTGTCATCAGAAAACACTCACGTTAACATCCCAGAGACACGTTAATGTTCAAAGTGACGTTAGCAGTGTAGAGTAATAAACAACGTTAGCTGGCTAATGGCTACTGATTCCACACAAATGTTGACAAACATGCGCCAGTGGGGCTTTAGCCGCTGTTAGCGCCTGTCACCGCAGCGTGCTAACCCCCCACCACATCCTCTTACCTTCTAAGAGACGCTGGATGATACTGTCTATGTTCAGCTTGTCAACATCGGCCATCGCAACGCTGGAGTCGAATGTGGGTCTTGGCGTTAACACAGTGGTGATGGCTAGTCCGCTAGCTATCCGAGCATTAGCTACCTGACGTTAGCTTCGGCTGAGGGTGAAGATGTGGATGTGACCCCTGCTGCTGTTTCAGCCGCTCGTCGACGCTTTGGACAAACTAATCATCTACTAAAACATCGCACTTTCAAAAAAACATCCGCATCCAACGTTGTTGTTTTTTTGGAGCGAAGCGGGGACTGAAATCATGAACGTCAGGCGAACTAGCCGCGAGCTAGCGATGGTGTCCCCTCTGTTTTTCTCTGCCGCACCTTGTACCAGCTTCAAGGAGGCTGCTGCTGCTGCTGCTCCGCTGCTGCCCCCTGCTGGTCTGGATGGAGAGAGGCGTCTCCAGCTCAGAAGAGAAGGTGCGTTTACAGTGAGGTATTAGTCTTCATATAATATATTC